CCCCTGCCACAGCACCAGCCAGTGCTCTTAACCACTGAGCCATCTGTCCAGCCCCAGGAACAAACTTTAGAAATATCAGTAGGAGATAAGATCAGTAAGAGAAGTAATAACTTAAGATGCTATCAGGAGGTATCAAGGGCTCATGCAGTTTGTCTGTGGTTTACAACACACTGGTAGTAAATTGGGCCAGAGGAATTAAGTTTTGGTTGTTTTCTAAAAACTTCATCAAAACTGAAAATACTCAATTATCTGGAGCTACACAATATTCTAAATATGAAAACTTGGATCTGAATAACAGTTACTTAGCTATATATAAACCATGTTTAGAATTACAACTATGGATATAAGAGGCCATCATTCAAGTGAAACTATATTCCCAATAGCTTTTTTTTTGTGTGTGTGTGTGTAACATTTATTTTACATGTGATGCGTGCCACCGTGCACCGTGTACATGTGGTTGCAGGATAACTTTTGGGATTCTATTTCCTCAGGTGGGACCCAGGGATCAAACTAGGGTCAAGTTTGGTGGCAGGTGTCCTAATCTGCTGAGTCATCTCACTGGCCCCTGGGTTCAATATTTAGGTAGAAGACATCTGATATGTGTTATTACAAATTACTAATTTCTCAAAGCTATTTTCAATGTAAGCAGTGATGTGAGGTTGCATTCTTTCTCTGTAGTTTTCTTAAAAAGTAAACCTTATTTTCTATCTTCTGGGATGGGTTTTCCTGTTCAGTTCATTAAGCCTTTATTAGCACATGCTGTGACAGGTACTCTCCTGGGTTCTAACAGGCTTTTGTGAACAGTACTCACAATGGTGTTGACATTTCAACTAAAACCCATACTCAGGACATGGTAAGACACTTCATATACCCAGTAAGACACAAGGGAGATGTGGTCAAGGCGTTCCAGAAATACTTCCTTTCTGTGCATGCTTTTGATGGGATAGAGTTGGAAGTGAGAGAGACTTTGTAGATAGGACTATCCTCAAACTCATGACACTGCCTCAGCCTTTCAAGTGCTGGGATTAGACATGTGCCACTATGCCCAACTCAAATAATTGGATGTTTTTAGTACTTTTTTTTTTTTCTGTTGTTTTTGAGATAAAGTCTTTCTCTGTAGCCAGGTTGGCCTCAAATTCCCAAGCCCCCTGCCTCAGTTTCCTACATAGTAGCATTACAGGTATATGCCACCACACTCAGCTTAAAACTTCAGTGTTTAGATGGAAGATGCTGCAAACAAGCTCACCATTTCGGGACCCTGTGATGAGTTGACAATTATTGGCTAAATGAGCAGTATATTGAACAGGCAATCTTAGAGAAGCCCAAAGAATTGTCACTGGCCTCCCTCCATGCACCCCTCCTTTCCCTCATGCTATGCTCTTAAGAGCCTGGCTTTGTAGACCTGCCAAAAACCAATGCAGTTTGACTGGCCAAGTTTATACACCTCTTTAACAGTATATTGCTGTTACCTGATTGGGGGAAAATTAATGGTGCCAGTCATAACTTCTGATTTCATCATCATTAAGCACTGCGTATCAGTCATCTAAGTAGGACACACAAGAACAGTGAGAAGGGTGCCAAAGACACATTATATTTCATTTGCCTTCAATTTTTTTTTTTTTTTTTTTTTTTTGCTGTCCTTGGCTACTCATTAAACCATGGTGTTTTAATATGGTACCAATTCCTTTTCAATCATGACTGCAGATGACCTGCTTTTAGTTTAAAATAGAAACAGAGGCAACAATAAAACATTTGAAGGTAACAAGATGAGCTAAAGAAAAAGAAATCCACGACACATATGACTGAAACACAAACACTATCCTTTGTTTGTTTTGATTCTCTAGCCCAGACTGGCCTTGAACTTGCAATGATCCATTTATTCCAGTTTTCCCAAGTACTAGGATTACAGGCATGACTACATGCCCAACTTCTTCTAACTTTTCAATTGGGCATTTATAATATTCTCTTCTTTACCTAAAATGACCAAGATAACTGTTCCCTGATTTATGGTTGTTTTATAAGACAATTTATAAGTTTCATTTAGCTATTCAAATCAATGTAAGAACTTGGCATTTCCTATCAATTAAAACATTTAAGGAATGACAGTATTAACTATATACATTTAGAAGTATTTCTTCCTATTAAAAGATCCCTAACATGTTTACATACTCAAATAATTTATTACTAATATTTCACAAGTAATATTTTATTACTATAATCACAAAATCATAATTTCTGTACAGGAATGTATAAGTGAACATTAATCAATGCATTTGCTAATATTCTTCATAATGAGGGTAAACATACTACAGAACATAAAAGACAAAAGATTGTAAAATTTTCTGGCCTTGCGATGCACTTTTTAGTGCAATTATTTAAGACACAATAGTGTTCAATTCAGCAAAATATTGCAGAATGTCATGCCACAGTCCACTTAATTCAAATAGGGTCAGGACATGCAGCTTGTAATAAAATGTCAGCGCATATGTTTTTATATATAAAAAAAACCACATGTGATTCATAAAATATATAGTGGTTTATTTAGATGGTTTCTAGATGATCTCACTGAGGAATCCAATGTCTCCTTAACAAGGATAACGTTATCGCTAGGCAATGGCTTTGGCTTCAGGTAGGAATGCCTCCCAGTACTTTATCAGCTGTGGGGGATAATAAAAAGATATTTTCGTTACATTTTTGTCATTTTAATGCATATATCCCTTTTTAAAAAAGTATATACATAAGTAGCTAGCTCTAATTTAGTCTTTTAAAACTTACATATATAACTGTTTGAACTTATGGGGATCACCTGCTCTTTCTTACTTGTTTGAGAAAGGGTTTCACAATTAACTCAGGCTGGCCTTAAGTTTCAAGTTTTCATGCCTGAGCCACCCCAGAGCTGGGATTATGCGTGCAGGACCACACCTTGACTGTGTGTGGGTTTTGCTTTGTTTTTGATGTTTTTTTCAGATAGGCTCTCCCTACTGTGTAGAACTGTCTGGCCTTGACTTTGTGACAGTCCCTCTCTCTGCCTGTGCCTCACTGTGCTGGGATTATAGGTGTTTATCACCAAGCCGGGCTACATATGGTTCTTAAATGGATCATTTCCTCACCAGATGTCTTATCAACAGAATTAATATATAACTTATTTAAACATTATTCCTAGCTAATTACAAATTCCACTGTAAACAATATAATTAATGTCTATTTTTATACTTCTTAAGTATATGAAAAATTATAGATAGAAACATACTATTATTAAATAATTAAAAAACAACAATTGCAATATAAAGCAATAACATATCCTAATTTCTAGGATATTCACATTTCATTTATATAATATTATATTTATATTCACATTTTGTATTATTGCTAGTTAAGACTAGAATAAAGGAGGAAAAAGTCAATATTGAATAAGGAAGGAAAACAGGGACTGGAGAAACTAGTTGCCACTCCCTGGGTCACTGAGAAAACAGACTGACTATATACTAAAAAGTTAAATTAAAACAACATCTTTGAAAACAACTTTATCTGACTTAGATTTTTTGAAGACAGGGTTTCTCTGTGTAGGCCTGGCTGTCCTGTTTGTAGACAAGGCTGGCCTTGAACTCAGAGATCCACCTGCCTCTGCCAGAGCTCTGGGATTAAAGTTGTACACCACCACCACCTGGCAGTTCGATTTTAAAAAACCTAGCTTTATTAGCTCATTGGAAAACTGTGTTGTATTACATAGTCCTGGTTGGTCTGAAACTTACTCCGCAGACCAGGCTCACCTCCAGGGTGCTGGGATCACAGGCTTGCACCACTGTGCCTGGCTTGAATTTGAAGACATAACATAGTATATGGACAAGTTTCTATTTCTGAACATTTTAAAGCTAACTGGAAAAATTATTCTATTAAAGACACTAAGTTAATTTGGTTTGTATATGCAAGACTTTTTATACATTTTATTTTTATTTATGTATTATGGAAGCTCGTACTCTTAGGTAAGGAAACAAATGCCAGTTGTAGGATTCAAAATTTCCAAATAAAACAAAATTATCAAAATACTATAAAGAAAAATCTTTTAAAAATTAGTTTTCGGTCTAAGTTTCTGTCTGTTGTGGAGCAGAGAAATGTACTAGGAATACTTACTCCCCCAGTGAGTCTGATAAGGAAAGGAAACCAGGACTGTAAACTTGGGGGCCACAGTGCACCCCTACAACCTCAGTCAGTACTAGGCAGACTGAGGCACAAGGACAGCAATTTCCAGGCTACCCTGAGGTATACACAGAGACCATCTCCAAAACGAATGAACTTTAAAGATAAGGGGAATTTCATGGGTAGGTGTGTTGTCTGAATGCATGTGCACTACCTCTCCAGCCCCTCTGTGACCTTTTAGGGCCTCGTTTTGGGAATAGTATACCTCTGTATATTATTCAACAGAGACCAACAGATCTAAGATAGCTTCCAGTTACTTTACCATTTGCCCCTCTGTTGTCCTAACTTTATTTTTAGTGTACCTGTAATTTTTTCCTCCAGCTTAACAGCCTATTAATCATCTTTAAAATAACTCTAAGAGAAACCTTAGAAGCTATAGGGAAAATGAGCTTACCTGTTGCTGTGTTTGTACTAATGACTCCAAGTACTTGATGATAACAGATTTAAAATCTTTCACTCTTTCTTTCTGTTAAAGCACAATACATTAAAAAGGACATTAGTAGGAAATTAAACTTAATTTTACCACAGAGCTGCAGCAAAATTAAGGAAAGTACAGAATTAGGATACATGCCTCAAATCTTCCCACTTCTTTTCGAATTGTTTTAGAGATCTGCTCAAAATCTCTCTCTCCTTGTTGTACTTTCGCCTCCCACTGATGAAAACAAACAAGAAGGAAAAAAATGCTTATTTCTGCCTGTAAACAAATAGTGTACTGTCATGATTACTCATTTAATTTAACCAAAATGTCTAAAGATGCAAGAAAGCTCAATATTGGAAAACCCAATCTAACATAATTCAGTGGTGTATCTAGAAGTTGAGGACAACTCAGTGGGTAAAGCACTGCTGTGCAAGCATGAAAATCAGAATGAGATCTCTAGCACCCACATAGATATTGGGTGGGTATGGCAGTGTGCCTATAATCCTAGCACCCTGCAGGCAGAGACAGAAGATCCTTGGGGAAAGCTGGCTAGTTAGGCAAGTCAAATAACCAAGTTCTGGTTCAAGTGAAATACTGTGACTCAGTAGTACATAAGGTAGAGAATGATAAGAAAGACAGACATCTAAACATGATACTCTGGCTTCCACATGCATGTATACACATGAATGTCCATGCACATATACATATGCCCACACACATTACATATGCATACAGGCATACTCTACACACACACACACACACACACACACACACACACACACACAGTGCATTTTACTTCCTAGTGGTAGAAATACATGTCAGCTTAAATTCCATTAATAGTTCATTACTACACTTATTTAAAATTAGAATACTTTAATATGTAATGAACTATAATGTCCTGCCCGGTATGGTAGCTCTTGACTGTAATTCTTACACTGAGAAAGAGGACTGAGAATTCCAGGCTGGCCTAAGGTTAGACCCCACCTAACTTAGTTAGATTCCATCTCAAAAACCAACAAATCAAAGAACCATCTTATCAATGTCCATTATGTACATCTGGAGGGATCTTGAGTATAAAGTTCACTATTAAATAAATTAAAAGTCCTGCAGTTCAATTTTTATACATTTCAAATATACCAATAATACTAATTCCAATAATACATGTTTATCACAATTTATATGGTCATGAAAATACTTCAACATATGACAAGCACTTCAAAAAAAATTTTGTAATGGTAAAATGACTAGATTCTTTTTAAAGTGGAACTATTTATTGTCTACTGAAGACTCATCAATAATCATTAAATTCAGTATGGTAACAACAAAATGTGACTAGTGACCAATGAAACAGCTAAAATAAAGATTTAAGCAATGAAATGGTATTTTCCACTATGTAACCAAAACACTGGTCCATACTCTGCAAAGAGCAGGGGTAGTTATTTGTAGTAATATAAAGGTTGTCCTACCTCTTCAATTTCCTTATTGAAGCATGGCAAAAAAAGTGTATAAATTATAATAAACTTATACAAATTTATTTAAATACCATATATACTACATATATATGGGGTATAATATTGCCCAGAGAACTAAATGTGGGTAGGTATACCTTTAAAACCATTTTTTGACACAAAATGAGTAATCATCTGAAATCAAAACTATTTGAAAAGAAACGTACAAAGGTTAATTTTAGATAGCTTCCTTTCATGCTTCTTCACTCATTTCATAGTCATATGAGGTAACAAAAGTCCCTGGAGACTTTAATGATGATAAAAAGTGTTAGACTTCTAACTAAATCACATAATTCATAAAAAAATATGGAGAAATAGCTAAGTGCTGAATGATTCAGAAAAAAATATGAAAAATTATGCATATATGAATGACATGAAAAATCTGAGTAAAGACAATATTAATAATTACCTCTCTTATTTCATTTTTAGCTTGTTGAATTTTATCTGGTTTGTTAGCAACCATCATTTTTGCCTCAGTTTCACGTTTTTTGAGCAAAGTGATTTGAGCATCTTCCCATTTCTGCCAGCATTTCATCCGATGGTCAAACACACCCTGTAAGTGGATGGCATAAGGCTATTAAGCAACAGTGTAAAAATACTTTCATTATAATGTAAGTATATACTGAAACCTATAAAGCGAACTATTTAAAATGTTATCCTAATATATAGAGATGATGAAAATATGCGTGCCAATAGCAATTTAGCTTGCTTTTAGGATTTTAAATTCGGCTTGCAATAAGATGTAAAAGAATTATATGGCCTAAAAAAAGATGTATTTAATGAAGAAATACTGATATATACTAAAAGTTCTCCTATTGAGCAATATACAAAAAAGATTTTAATGTTGAAAAAACAGAAATTGAAAACATAAAATGGGCCAGGCCAGCCCTACCCCTATAATCCCAGTACCATGAGACAGAGACAGAAGTTTCTTTGGTAAGTTTTGGGGGTGGGGATGGGGGATGGTGTTAGAAACCAAGAAACAGGAAGTGAAATACAAATGTCATAGATGACTCTAATAGAAAAAGGTAAACAATTAATAATAAAGTAAAGCAAAATGGGGAAGAGGTGAGTCCTGCGCAAGGCAATAAGGGACAAAGAACACAACCAGAAGGCAGAACTAAATGAAGAAACTGACAGGGGCTCTACTAGAACAAGTCAACCAAGCCCACACCTATCTTCAAGGGGTAGTCAGAGTAAGACTGAGTGAGTGAGATACAGATATAGGAGAG